TTTTTAACCAAATTAGAATCATGCTGTATGTTAGTTTTCTTCCTGCTTTATTCAGTTAATGCCATTTTGTTGTACACTAGAAAGTGAACACATGATCTTTTATGTCTGCCATGACTGTCCTCACATCAACGTGAATTTTGATTGCCTAAATTAAGTGCTAATTGTTAAGACATTCAGTTTGCTTCTAATTCTAAACATCATGACTAGCTCCTTGGATCCTGAAAATGGAGTAGATGGGGAGGAAGGGATGTGCATTTTCAAGGCTTCTTACCATCTCTGCAAACTGTTCTTCCAAAAAGTTGTCTTGTTTTATGTTTCTTCTATTCAGGCAAATCCTAGGTGAGTGTTACCATTTTTAATCCTTTCCAATCATAACCAATAAGAAAAATTATTGTTTTTGAAAGTTGCATTCTTTGGTTACTTTTAGTGCCTATTAGCCATTTGTACTGAGAAATAATTGTGTGACTGTGTCCTTAATCCTAGTAGAATGTTCACTATTTTCTTACTGATTTGCTATCATTCTTAATTTGGAAAGGATAATAACCTTCAATTGGCCGTGTATATAGCAAACCTTTCCCCAAAATTCATTTTCTTTTTCTATTTGTTTATGGTGCTTCATAATGCTTATGTGTTTTTATGTATTCAAATGGGTTAGTATTTTCTTATGTGGTTTGTATCTATGGTTTCTGCTTTTAAGTCTTTTCCCACTTGAAAATGATATAAATATTCACCCCATGTTGGCTTCTAATCCCCTTTATGGCTTCATTTTTTCCATTTACTGTAGAGGTTAAAAGTGTGGGTATTGGAGCCAGACTGTCTGGAACAACCTAGCCTCACCTCAAGTCATCTGTGTGAATTTTAACCAGGCACTTACCCTCTCTGTACCTCCATTTCCTCATATATACTGTGATAGTTATAATAGTACCTACCTCAGAGGATCTTTCTGAGGATTAAATCTATTATTGTGTGTTCAGCCTTGTGCGAAGCACTTAAAATGTATCTCTTCAATGGATCTAGAATTTATTCTAGAACATATAATTATGGTAACATTTTTGGGCAGGGAGGGATTTGTAGCAATTCTTTTGTGGGAATGTATATTCAACCTATTCAGTCACTTTATTTTCCCCTATTTCTCTCAGAAGCATTTGTTAATCCATCCTGCACTATCCCTCTCATTGAAAAGTTGCATTCATCCCAAACTCCATTCTCTCCCTGCACAAGTCTGAACCAAAGCTTTGAATTCTGTTCTGGTCCTCAGTATCTGTCCTTGTACAAAGCCCACACTACTTTACTGATTGTTGCTTTGCAATATAATTTCATACCCAACCATGGGTGTCTCTGGCACCTAGTAGCATCACTCCTCCAGCTAGAGACCAGTGAATGTTCATATTTGGGCCAATCTTCTCTATCTCTCTCTATCTCTATCTCTCTGTGTCAATCTCTGTCACTCTCTTTATCAGTATCTGACACTGTTTCTCTTGACAGCCCTTGTTCACTTCATCTCTCACTGTGATCTATCTCTGTTCCATATCATATCTCTCTCTACATCTTTTTAAAAAATATTTTATTATTTTTTATTTTATGTATATGAATGTACTACCTGAATGTATGTAAGTACACCCATGTCATACAATGTCCACAGAGGCCAAGTGTCAGATCCCCTGGAACTGAAGTTAGGAACAGTTGTTAGACAACATGTGGGTGCTGGGAACTGAACCCAGGTCTTCTGCAAGAGCAGTCAGTGCTCTTAACTGCTGAACCATCCCTCAACCCTCCCCCCTCTACATCTTTCTGAATCTCGTATCTCTTTTCCCATACCCATCTATCTGTCTATCCATCTATCCATCCCCCCAGATAGAAGGTAATTTATCAACTCAAATCTCTTACAAATATGTCAACTCACTCATACAGACATAAGACAGAAGGACCCTGGCCCTCCTCCATCCCACACTCTTCCCTCCCCAGTGTAGAAAGTCAAACTGAGGCTCAGAGATGGGCAGGAGAGCTGTTCCCCAAGCCTCATAGTGATGTAGTGTCAGATTTCAAGATCAGATTTCAGGATTCCCAGTGGGACCCTTGCTCTGTCCTTTCCCCACTAATGGGTCTGTTTATCCCTCAGTACCCAGGAGGGGGTAACGGGAACCTAGGGTGCCAATTCCCTGGGCCTTATGGGTCAGTAGGCCTAGCTGACCAGAAAGTAGTAATGAGGTGGGATGTCAGTAACTGTGTCCTCAGAGTTGGTGCTGGTCCCTGGGAACCACTATCCTGGGACCCTTCCAAAGAGCCTAGTGGTGGGTTCTTCCCATGAGGCCCTGGCTAAATGCCTTTCTTTTGCTGTCCCCATGTCTGGCAGAATGCTATGGACTTGGGAACATTGTCCTAGGACAGACAAGGAGACTGAGGCCATGGAAATGTCCATTTATCAATCACTGACATTTTGCTATCTCACATGTACTAATTTTGTAAGATGACTCCTATTAAATAGCCCCAATTTACAGAGGTAAGTAGAACCACTTAGTACCAGAGCCTGGCCCCCAGATCAGGGCAGGAGAGAGGTCATGATTCTTTGCCTTCATGAGGCTCAGGAAGGAGGCTAAGGAGGGCCCAGTGGGCAAGAGGCCTTATGAAATTGTGAGTTTCCTGTCCCTTATTTGTTCCATTTATTTGGACCCCTGGGACACTGATCTACACATACTAAAAAGTTGGATTCATGTACCCTACAAAGTCTGTGTTCTTGAGATCCTATGATTCTTTGGCTCTAAGAAATGATGTCCTAATGGCTCTGAGGTTCTGGTTCTGTTTGAAGACCCCAAGGGTTCCAGTATCCATGGGGTCTGACTAGCACTCAACAAATTTCCAACCTTGGGCCCCTCTGATATCCAAGAAAGACTGGGTCTACAGAACCTGGGGCTTGCATGGTAGCCAAATGGACGTCACCCACCACATCCGCTAGCACCCACATCACCCCACCTGGGCCCATCCCGCTACAGGATGGACCAGCCAGTTCTCGGAACGAAACCTGTGGGGTGTCATCTGCCCCCTTCTCTTCCTCCTTGTTGCTGATGAAGCCCAGTGCATCCGGCTGCCATGACGTCAATGACAAAAAAAAATCTGGGCAAATCTGGTCTGTGACAACAGGGCCCAGATGTAGACCCCAATAGGAAAACATATTCTATGTCCCAGAAACAACCTCCATGCAGCTTCTGAGAAACCCAGTCAGAAAGGGACGCCCCAACAGACAGTGCAGGAAGCTGGCTGGCCAGCCCAGTTCTCCAGATCCCTACCACCATCGCTACCACCAGACAGACCATATCCAGGTTCCCTTTCTGAGAATGTACTGATGCTTCTCAGAGTCACACCAGTTCCAGATGTGTTTAAGGAGATTTCTTATAAGCTCTAGCTAAATGTCTGGGCCTCTTCAAAATTGGATCATGGGTTAGCCACATGGGCCAGGCCACTATGGTAGAAAACTCCACTCACCAAACTTGATATGCATTTGCTCAGGCTGCTGTAACAAATTATCACAAACTGGGTGAATTAAACAACATAAATTTATGTCACAATTCTAGAGGTTAGAAGTCCAAGATGTTAACAGGGTTAGTCCCTTTGGTAATCTGTTCAGGCCTCTTTCCTGACTTCTGATAGTTTTCTTTGCTGTTCTTTGGTTTATAGAAGCATTACCTCCTGGCTGCCTTCCTTCATTTATTTTTTTACCTCCTCATCTCGCCAGTGTTCTATGAGGCCCATGTTCTTAGCCTCCACAGACCTAGACTCTTGATGCTCATACTAATGTTCTAACCCCTGAGACACCTAGATGTTCACACCTATCTCTCTCAGAACCACAGATCTAACAACCTCCACAAGGTATTAGTAAAGAAAAGAAGAAGTAACTGCCTTCCAGCACCCTTCTGTACTCCCCTGGGCTGTTCGCAGCAGCTATACACCCAACACATGTTGTGTAATAGAACATACATGCGCAGAATGTGGGGAGGGGGTCTTATAAACCATGCACATGGATCCACACACCTCCTGGAGAGATAAGTGGCAATCTCAGCCTGGCATGGTGGCCTGTAGTCCCAGCACTCAGAAGGTAGAGGCAAGAGTTCAAGGACAGGACAAGCATGGTAGCACATGCCTTTAATCCCAACACTCAGGAGGAGGAGGCAGGGAGATCTCTGTGAGTTCCATACCAGCCTGGTCTACATAGTAAGTTCCAGGCTAGTCAGTGATACATATTGAGACTCCACCTCAAAAAAAAAAAAAGAAAATTTCGATGACAGCCTGGCTATAAGTGAGTTCCAGGCCAGCCTGGGCTACATGAGACCCTGTCTAAAAAGAAAGTGTCACAGGTTAGGACAAGACTAGAACTCTGAACCTGGATGCCCCCTTAAGTAGAATGGGGGTTAGAAGTTTCAGTCACTCCAAGATCTGACTTCTTCCCTGACTAGAACCATAAAATCCTGAAAAAGAAAAGCCATACCCTTCAGAGAGTATAAGGTACTGGGCCACCATGCAGGACTTCGGGGAAGGAAACAGAAGAGTATGGCATGGCTAGGGGAAGAAGACATGGTGTGGGCATTCCAAACCTGGGGAGCAGAGATTGGGACAAGTGGGGATAGGGCTGGCTTGAGCTCCCACAGGCCCTATATTAAGTTTGCCCTGCCTTCTCTCTAGCACCTGCCAAGCTAACTTCATGCAAGAGAAAAGCCCAGAGAAGACTAGCTCCTGCTCTGACCCTAAGCTCTGCATTCCTGAATTCAATTAGCCTTACCTGCATGTCTCCCCATGCATCTAATGCTTGCCTCTGCATCCATCCAGACCTATCACCCCAAACTCTGCTCTCCCACCCCCATCTCTTGTAATGTCTGCTTTATCATAGCCACAGGCTAAAACCCAGCCATAAGATATCATCTTGACCCTTTCTCTCATCCCCTACATCAAAGCTTACAGCAAATTTCCCTGACTTTTTCTTCAAAATAAACTCAGAATCCATCCACTTCTCACCAGCTCCTCTGCTATCATCCAGGTTGGTAGCAGCAGCATCACTCACCTAAACTACTGCAGTAGACTTCTCACGAGTACTACTAGTTTCCTGGACTCTTCCCTCTCACAGCAGCCAGCTGAATCTTTTGAGTCCATGCCCAAGTCACTGGACTAAAATAACAACTCCAGGAGACAATCTGAGATCAGCTTCAGCAGAATCAGCAAAGGCTATGTGGCCTGTGCAGGATACAGGGGGTACTGGAGGGCTAAGGCCCCCACAAACCAATCATCCATCACCCTAGTGCAGAACACATCCACAACAGGGCTATGTATACAGGCAAGCCAGGTGCTAGACCTGTGCATGTGGGGGAATATATACATATGCCTGTGTTCCTGATATTGGGGTGGGGTGTATGTTATGGGGCCCTTTGGAACATGCCCCTGCCAACACCTGCTCTGACCAGAGGGACATGTGCATGGTTCAAATGGTTGAGTATGTCACACCACCCCTGGCACACATGTGACTCCATCCCACTGTTGTTCCTGCAGCCAACCTTCTGACAAGGAACCAATGCCCAACCCCAGACCAGCCAAGCCAATGGCCCCTTCTGTGGCCCTTGGCCTATCCCCAGGAGTCTCACCAAGTTGGAAGGCTGCACCCAAGACCTCAGACCTCCTGGGGGCCAGGGGTCCTGGGGGAAGTTTCCAGGGCCGGGACCCCCGGGACCTCCGAGGTGGGGCCCACACCTCTTCCTCCTCCTTAAACCCCCTGCCACCATCGCAGCTGCAGGTGAGGCCCAGCACTCAGAATGGAGCAGGCAGGGTGGGGTACCTGGGCCTATAGGTGCCGACCTTTACTGTGGCATACAGCGGGAGGGGGGCTGGCTGGGGCACAGGAAGTGGTTTCTGGGTCCCAGGCAAGTCTGTGACTTATGCAGATGTTGCAAGACCAAGAAAGTCCCCACTTTCCAAGCCTCAGAGATTTGAGGCTCTCCCCACCCTCCCGATCCTTGTCCAAGAGAGAAGACCTTATCATGGTCCCATGGGCATAGCAATGTGTCCTATCCCCATGTGATAAGAGATGGCTAGGACCCAAGAAGGTGATAGAGTTGGGGCCATCTCTACTTCTGTTAACCGAATGATCCTGATGAACTTAGTCTCCATGAGCCTCAGTTTCCACAGGTATGAACTGGATATACTCATAGTTCCTACCATGAGGGGCAGTAGTGAGGACCTTATAGATTAGACACAAAACTGAGAGGATAAGGGTAACATCTCACAGTACCTTTCTTCTCCCTCCAGCTGCCTACAGTGCCCCTAGTCATGGTAGCACCCTCTGGGGCACGACTGGGCCCCTCACCCCACTTGCAGGCACTTCTCCAGGATAGATCACACTTCATGCATCAGGTATGAAATCTGAACAGGCTGAGAGGAAGGAACAAACAGGATAACTGGGGGTGGGGGCAAGCCAGTCTGAGCCATGACCCATATGTGTCTCTCAGCTTTCCACGGTAGATGCCCATGCTGAAACTCCTGTGCTACAGGTGCGCCCACTGGACAGCCCAGCCATGATCGGCCTCCCACCACCTTCTGCTGCCACTGGGGTCTTCTCCCTCAAGGCTCAGCCTGGCCTGCCACCTGGTAATAACTTAGCCTTCTCCCCATGGCTTCATAGAACCCCAAAGTCCTCGGATCTTTGAACATGTACAGTGTAAACTGTTCTGAATTTTAGTCCTCTGGAAGTCTCAGAGTCATGGAAACACTGACCTCCAAAAAAAGTCAGGCTTAGAAACTTGAAGACACAAAATGTCAAAATCAGAACCACAGATGTCTGCAATTAGTCAAAATGTCAACACTTGCCAATGGCCATCTTTGGGCTGTTCTGCCAGAAGCCCTGGGTTGTGGGGACAGCAGTCTTCAAGGCTCATGGAGAGCAGAGGCCCTCTGGGCCAAGTTGCAGGGTGTGGTCTACAGCTCCATAAATGCCCTGTCCCCAACCACAGGGATCAATGTGGCCAGTCTGGAATGGGTATCCAGGGAGCCAACTCTGCTCTGCACCTTCCCAAGCCCAGGGGCACCCAGGAAGGACAGGTGAGTGGACAGCACTGGGAAGAAGCCCTTCTCTCTGCCTACCCCTCCACTGACATCCGGTGTCCCCTTAGCACCCTTTTGGCTGCACCGCAGGGACCCTACCCACTGCTGGCAAATGGAGTCTGCAAGTGGCCTGGATGTGAGAAGGTATTCAAAGAGCCAGAAGAGTTTCTCAAGTGAGTAGCCTGGCTCTACCCAAGGGTGTATGGCAGAGGTCTGGGGTGCAGATCTCAACTCAGAATCCTTCTGATGGGTGATAAGATGAAAAGTGGTAAAAACTGAGGCTGTGAATCTAAATCCTATCTTCACCCCTCCCTGACTCTGTGATCTTGGACAAGTTACTGAGTTTCTCTAGATCCCAGTTCCCTCATATGTATGATGAGACATAACAAAGACAGACACTGATATTTACCTCCACTTTAGAACCAAGGGACCTGCGACAAAACAGAGTGTCTTGATCAAGCTCACTCAGTTCCTGAGTGACAGAGCTAGGATATGAACTCAAGCAACCAGACTCCAGAACCCACACTAAGTACTTTGCCTCATGCAGCATACCACATTATTGATTTCCAAATTCTCCATTCCTCTAGATGGTTGTAGCTGTCTCCCTCTGCCTCTCTCTCTCTCTCTCTCTCTCTCTCTCTTTCTCTCTCACACACACACACACACACACACACACACATACACACACCCTTCTGTACTTCTCTACCCATTTATTGGCAGCAATGCATGCCTTACCCTCTTCATGGCCAGGCCTTTGCACAGGCTATGCCCTTCACCTGAAATTCTTCTCACTCACCATTTTCGTAACATCCTCACCAACACCCTGGCCAGGCTCAAAGGAATGAGTTCAGGCCTGGCAGCCAGTAGATGCTGAAAGTATGTGTTGAAGGAAGGCCAGGTGGGAGAGACAGGAGACAGGAGAGAAGCAGCTAAGGCTCTAAGAAAAGATCTCCCAAAAGGTCAGGGCTGTCCCCAACTGGAACGCTAATCTGGGAGGCCAGATCCATCATGGTCAGCTGTATGGAACTTGCCCCCTACCCAGGCACTGCCAGGCAGATCACCTCCCAGATGAGAAAGGCAGGGCACAGTGCCTCCTCCAGAAAGAGCTGGTGCAGTCGCTGGAGCAACAGGTAATTCCTGCAGGGTGTGGCTGGGGGTTGGAGGATGGAAGACTTGAGCCTAAAGGGAAGAAGAGGGAGGACCCTCCAAGGGAATGCCCTAGCCCAGTCAAAAATGTGGCAAAGAAAGGTCAGGTGGAAGCCTCACTTTTGTGTCCACTCCTACAGTTGGAGATGGAAAAGGAGAAGCTAGGTGCTATGCAGGCCCACCTGGCCGGGAAGATGGCATTGATGAAGGCTCCAGCTAAGGTGAGCACCAGGAAGTCCAGAGACAGCAGACTTTGACTGTTGGGGGCAAGGGAGGGGCCCTAAAGGAGGCAGTGACCTCTCCTCACATGTAGACCCTGGTCTGTACAGGCCATTCCCATTTCCTTAATTAATGCCAGAACTGGGGACCTCCCCCTCCACTTACAAAATTTCTGACCTTTGACTCTGATTCTGCATTTCAAAGCAATAGTAAATAGCCACATACAAAAGACAGAGTGTAGTCCCCACTACACAAGCTGCAAAACTCACAGGGCTATTGCAAAAAGAAAATGGAGAGCCCTATATTCAAAATAGTAACCGCAGCACATTAAACAGTATGGAGGTCCTGTGTGACCACACAAGTCACGCACCCATGAAGCTCATCTTGAGTCTCAGGCACTGATTCTGACTACTTTGCTGGTGTTAACTTATTTGAGTGCCAAACAACTGTGAGGTACCTACCACTATCATCCCAAGGACAACTGAGACCAGAAGGCTTAGATAGATGGCTCTGTCAAATTCACAACTAGGTCCTAGGGGAGCCCAATTCAGCATGACCCCAGCATCTGTGCCCCTATAGAGATGCTCACTCTTGTACTCTTGACCAATATGCCTCCTGCTTTGTGGGGTTCCACAGCAGCCTATAATTGACAAGAAGGTGCCCCTGTTCTCAAAAGCACTGACTTTACTGGGCACAGTAGTATATGTTTGTAGTTTTAGATACTTGAGGCTCAGGCAGGAAGGATCATTTGAGCCCTGGAGCTCAAAACTGCCTGTGCAAAGCAGAGAGATCTTGTCTCTTTAATTCCAGCAGAGGCAGGCAGATCTCTGTGAGTTCAAGGCCTACTTGGTCTAGTGTACATATTAAGTTCCAGGCTTTCTGGGGATATATAGCAATACCCTGCCTCAAAAGACAAAAAAAAATTTAATGTAAATAAATGGGGCTGAGGAGATGACTCAGTGGGTAAACATCAGACACAGTTATAATCACAGTGCTCCCACAAGGGAGATGAGAGGTGGAGACAGAATTCCCCAAAGCTCACAGGCCAGGCATAAGCAGCAGTAAGCAATAGAAGACCCTGTCTCAAATAGGGTGGAAGGCAAGAACTAGCACGCAAGGTTGTCCTCTGATTTCTACACATGTACCAGCACTCACATAAACAAACATGCACACATACATATGCACACATCATAGACATACACAAATGATGATGATAGACAGATAGATAGAAATGTAAATACTGTACTATCTTAAAAAATACAATGGAATGGAAGCTGGGCATAGTGGCTCACACCTGCAATCTCAGCACTCCAGAAGTGGAGGCAGAAGATCAGGAGTTCAATGTCATCCTATGCTACTGAATAAGTTCAAGGCCAACCTGGATTACATAAGTCCCTGTCTCAAAAAGACCCAAAAATTTAAAATGAAAACAAACTGGAAACATGGTGTGATGGCTTACTGCAGTAATCCCAGCACTTGGGAGGCAAATACAGAAGACTGCCCAAAGCTTGACGCCAGCCTGTGCTACACAGTGAATTCCAGACCAACCGGTGCTAGAGTGAGACCCTGTCTAAATACATACATATATACATACATACATACATACATACATATGCATACATACATACATACATGCATGCATGCATGAGCAAACAAACTGTAAAATGGAGGGGCTGGAGAGATGGTTAAGAGCACTTCTGACCTCTGCAGGAACTACATGACACATGTACACTTACATACATGCAGGCAAAATACTCATACACATTAAAATAAATAAATAAAATTTAAAATAAATAAAATGGAAACCGGATGTGATGGCACACATATAATTCCAGAATTCCACAGGTGAAGCTAAGAGGATGGAGAGTACAAGGCCAGCCTGAGACACATAGTGAGATTTTGTCTCAGAAAAGAATAAATAAAACAAAATGAACTGACATGAACATCAGAGATTTTTGAAAGGTGGTAGGGAGTTGGAAGGTGAGAGTGGTCAGTATGCATTGCATACATGTGAAATTGTTTTAAAGCAAACTGAATTAATAATAAAAATACAAAAAAAATTTTTTGGTTTTTTGAGACAGGGTCTCGCTATAGCCCCAGCTGACCTAAAACTCGCTATATAGACCACGCTGGCCTTGATCTCATAGAGATCTGCCTACCTCTCCCTCCAAAGTGCCCCAGCACTTAAAGGCATGTGCCACCACTATTTCATTGTCTTTAAAAAATATATATTTGGGGGCTGGGTGAGGGAGCACAGCCTTTAATCCCAGCACTAGGGAGGGAGAGGCAGGTGGATTATTGTGAGTTCAAGGCCAACCTGGTCTACATAGTAAGTTCCAGGCCAGTTGGGGCTACAGGAAGACGCTGTCTCAAAAAAGACCAAAAAAGAAAATAGAATGAGCCGGGCGTGGTGGGGCACGCCTGTAGTCCCAGCACTTGGGAGGCAGAGGCAGGCGGATCTCTGTGAGTTCAAGGCCAGCCTGGTCTACATAGTAAGTTCCAGGACAGCTGGAGCTACAGGGAGACCCTGCTTCAAAAAAACAAAAAACAAAAAAAAAAGAAAATAGAATAAAATAAAAATCATAAACCCTGCCCAAATCCTCCAGGCCTCATTGGACAAAGGCTCCTGCTGCATCGTAGCCACTGGAACCCAGAGCAGTGTCCTCCCAGCCTGGCCTGCTCCCCAGGAGGCTTCAGATAGCCTCTTTGCAGTACGGAGGCACCTGTGGGGCAGCAATGGAAACAGCACCTTTCCAGGTAAGTATAGTCTGCACCCCACCTGATGACCCCAAGCTCCTGATACCAACTGGGGCCAGAGGATACAAAAGCGCTCCCTGTTCCCCTTCCCCACCACCAGCAGCAACAACAGCAGCTGGGAGGGGACTACACCTGCTTCCATTGGCTTCCCCTCAAGATTTCCATGGCCTAGAAATCCTCAATCATTGTTGCAAATGTGGATGGAGCCCCAGCCCGGTGTTTGAGGTGTTGGAGCCATGTTTCACCCACATGGCTTCAGCTAGTTCATTTGGCCATCAGGAGGGAGAAACCTAGCTTACTGAACCCTCCCTTCCTCCCCACCCCCAGGGAAATCAGGTGGATTTGCCCTAGCTCACCAATCTCCTCCCATCTGCCAGGTCTAATCTATCAGTGTCATACTGGCTGTGCCATTTTAACTACTCGTATACAAGTTATTTTGCTTCTTTTTTTAATCTGGGGGAGAGCTATTTTGGCACAAGTGATATAAAGAAGAGACAACCTAGAGCAGGTACTCAGCAACCAGTACCTATGTGTGACTGTAGACTCCTTCCATCCTTGGTGCTAATGATGGGATTTCAGGCCTTGGACTCAATGGACACAAGCCTGATTCATCCCAACTCTCTGCAGAGTTCTTCCACAACATGGACTATTTCAAGTTTCATAACATGCGGCCCCCTTTCACCTATGCCACCCTCATCCGCTGGGTAAGCAGGGCAGCCTAGACCCAGAGAGGGAAGAAGAGCCTGGGGGCTAGGGGGAGGTGCCTCCTACACTTCTGCCTCCCTGTGAGCACAAAAGTAGACTCCTGCATTAACAAACGCCAGTGTCAGGGAGCCCCAAACCAGCCTCAGATGTGATCGCTCTTGCTGGCTTCACCCCAGACCTGTTCCTGAACCCCAAACTACAAGCCAGGCCAAAGCAGGCCGAATTGTGACCCTAAAACCATCCTTTCCTTTGTCTACCCGGCTTCTAACCTAATCCTTGACTCCATGCCTCAACCCATATTCTCTGTCCTTCCCCTTTGCCCCCACAATTCTACCCACCAGGTCAAACAGCCCAGAGTAGGCTGCCCCCTCAGGTCTACCTTTGAGGGACCATGTCCCTTACTTCACCCAATTCCAACCTCCAGGCCATCCTGGAAGCTCCAGAGAAGCAGAGGACACTCAATGAAATCTACCATTGGTTCACACGCATGTTTGCCTACTTTAGAAACCACCCTGCCACCTGGAAGGTGAGCACATATGCACAGGGTGGTGACTGGGATGGCCCCAAGTGCCAGAGCAGCATAAGGGTAGCCAACCTGGAGCTGGGCTCCAAGACGTGGGGAAAGGGCAGGTTGGTGCTGGCAGGGTCTGCTGAGCTCATTGGATAACTGCCCACCTCATCCCTACCTGGCTGGCTGGTCCTTCCACAGAATGCCATCCGCCACAACCTAAGCTTGCACAAGTGCTTTGTGCGAGTGGAAAGTGAAAAGGGAGCAGTGTGGACTGTGGATGAGTTTGAGTTTCGAAAGAAGAGGAGCCAGCGCCCCAGCAGGTGCTACAACCCCATATATGGCCCTTGAACTCAAAACCAAGGAAAGGAAGAAAGATGGTCAGGGGCCAAAATGGAGACTGAGGCAGTGGGAACAAGGGGGCAGGTCCTGGACTTGCCTACAGACATCAGGAAATAAGGTGTACACTATCTCGCCTGTGAGGGAGCCTGTGCCCCATCTAGCTGCCATCCTTGATTATATTTCTGCCCCAAGGCTGCTCAGAGGGGCATCAGTCTCAGCCCAGGCCCTAACCCCAACCCATACCCCAAGATGAGCTCTCCAACCAAACAGAGCCCTCATAACCAGCCATACACACAGGCTGCCTCGGCCATTCTCAGACAGGAAAGTGACAAAAACACATTCATAATGTGTCACCTGGACTCAACCCAAACCCTAAAACACCAAGAGCCCACTTTGATAGGACAGTCAAAGAACTGCCCTCAAAGCCTCACAGTCACACATGAGCACAATCCTATTGGCTTATACCCCAAAGCATTTACCCACAGTCAGCATCTAGGCCCACAGGCACTGTCACACAGAGGTGTACCCAGATCCTTGCACAGCAGCAGCACTGGAACCTTCAGGATCACAGTAAACCACACAAGCATAACTGGTCATACGGTCTCATGCAGCACCCGATAATATGCTCAGTTACAGACAAAGCCTGTCAGAACTCATCCGTTACTCAGACATGCACAAACACACAATCCCCCCAGTGTGTCTTCCAAGTCCCATGAATACACACTGACCCTCAAAAATGTACCCCATGTCTCAGTTGCCACTGACCCCAGTCCCCTGCCCCCAGCCCTAATCCATGCCTCAGTCTGAACTACTGAAGAACTTCTCTTTTATTTGGGGCCCAAGGCCCCTTGCCCCAGGGCCCATCCAATAAACTGCAGTTAAGCTCCCACATGCTGGACATTCAGTCACTCTGATCAAAAATGGGGCCTGGGTGCAAGGCCCCAGCAGGAGGAAGTGGATGGCAAATGGAGGGAAGAGCTAAAGCTAGTTCTTGGGCACTAACCCCAACTAGTGCCCAACTAACCAACACCCCAAATCCCGGCCTGTGTCTAGGAGACTTCTATCGGGGCTCCTCAGGCCTCCCGGAGACGGCCCAAGAGACCAGCATTCTCCTGGCGAAGGGCTCGGTAGTCCTCACAGATCTTCTCCAAGTTGCTGAGGGTCTTCTTACCCATCTCGGTCTCGATCTAAAGTAAAAGGATACACACACTCTGAGCATGCAGGGCTCCATTTCCCAGACCCTGCTAGCCATCCCTCTACTGCACTACTCTGTGCCCCTCCCACTCCTACAACAGTAGCCTGTTCCTTCTCACTGCAAGCTTCTGTATATGTCCTTCCCTTTACTTAAAGCCAAGCCTCTGTCATGGGCTCCTCTGGGAGGCAGGCCTGAGGACCCCCAGGCTGGAAACCAGGGCTCAGAGCCAGCCATTGGCCAGACTCAGGTCCCAGAAAGCATTAAGAGCCTCTAGTTGTAGGCTGTCTGATCTCACAGACTCTCAGTATAAAGCAAGGCACTGTCCCCTGGCCTGCCTTTGGTTCCTTTCCTATCCCCAGGCCTCACCTGCTCCTCAAGGTCTCGAACCTCTCGCATGATAGTGCCTGTGTCCTCAATGGTCTGGATGAGCTGGCTACAGTTCTGGAGATAGCAGAAACACAAGGTTTACACCTGTGCCTGCCCTCCATAGCCAGCCCCCCAGGCACGTAGCTCCTCTCACCTCATGCAGGGCAGCAAGATACTTGTAGGCCTTTCGAACAGCATCATCCTTCTTGGCATCCTGACCAGGCAGAGGGGACCTTCATGATATCAGTAGGCCACTCCCACCTTCCCCACCACTCCAATACCCCAATAGAGCCATTCCACGACCACTCGACCTTCACCCTCCACAGAGCAAAGCCAGGCCCAAACTGCCACATGGGCAGATAGGCAAGAAACAGCCCAGTCCCAACCCGACTCTCCCTCAGGCCAGCCTGCTCCATACCTTGAACACTAGCTCATCGGTCACAGCAAAGGTCCGATCCAGCTTCCCAGAGAGAGAGTTAATTTCCTTCTGAAGCTCCTTCGTGTCAGACAAGATCTGGCAGAAACCAGGGTGGCCATCAGTCCATGTTGGGGGCAGGGTGGATAGCCAGGGATGGTACTCATATACCTGAGCTCACATCCCAGGACCTGTGCCACTGTGTCAGGGTGGCTGGGGTAGACTGTATGTGACTATTCTTTGCTGGAGTGTGCCTAGACAGTTCTGCCTATCAGCGACCATAAAGTCCCTGTGTGGTCACGCTATGCCTGTCTGCCCATGTGACCCACCCTCCAGAGCCACAGTAGTGCACCTTAGTGATCTCTTCCTTCTGCTTCCGGATGTTGCCCACAATCTCTAGAATGCGCTGGGTGTAGGCCAGCCGGGACACATCTCTGGGTAGAGTCTCCAGCTCCGACACCTAGGCAAGGACATGGCAGGAATGCCTCCAAGCCCTGCACTCCACCTACCTTTGCTACCCAAGTCCCCAAAATAGGTCTTACCAACTGCTTATAGACCTCCTCTTTCCTGCGGGCCTCTTCCACAGCTGCTCGAACACTGTGGTGTAGCTCCTGGATTTCTGCTAGCCGTCGTGAAGATTCCAACTGCCAGGAGCCAATAGGCAAAAGGCAGTGAGCAGAGTGCAAAGACGGCCCACTAGGGAGGCAGTGCATCTACACTCACAGCCCACGTCCCTGCCACCTACCTCCCTACAATCCTGGAGTTTTCGAAGGTGGCGATACTCCGCAAGAAGCGGAACCCGGTGTTTTTCCCACTGACCTGCCAGGTGGATAACCCGCTGGGCACTGCTCTCCACAACAAGCTGGCAGGAGTTGGGGGAACATGTCACATGGGCTGGACCCATCCAACCCCACCCTCTCAGCCTGCCCCAGCCCCAGTCCCAGCCCACCTGCAGCTTGGCAAGGTTGGCAGCCCCATCAGGCAGCAGTTCCACCGCCTGACTCTTCAGACGCAGGGCTTGCTCCTGCTCCATTATGCTGAGATCACTTTGTCGACACTCAGATTCCACCTGACACACCCTCAATCAGATTCCCAGTCACACACAACAGCCCACAGCCCCAGCCCAAGTCCTCATAGATTATTCCATGGCCTCAACCCACTACAGACCTCTGACTTTCCAGCTCCATACTAACAGCCAAGAGCCCCAAGAAGCTCCACAAGCCTCTGCCCATACAGACCCATCTTGCTCCACACTGATGCCCACAGATGCTATGCCCCTCTACAGAGCCTATCTGATACCCAAAGTTGCCTCTAACCCCTTATAAGTCCACCAAGCCCCTAATCCAATATCATCTTTGCCTCACAAATTGTCCTGACCTTCAGAGGACCCCAATGTTCCCCATAAATCATTCTGGCATCTGAAGATCTTTACAGAGCATCTCTCATCCCCCTCAAGGCCCTTCTTCTGACCAGATCCAACACAAGCCCCTCTCTTAGTCCCTTACCTGCACAAGGTTGATTCCCAGGGTCTTCATGTCGGCTTCAACCTCTTCAATGTTGCGGTTCATACCCGCCAGCTGCTCCTGAAGGGATTCTAGCTCCTGTTCTTGAGGTGCCCGTGTGTCCTGGGAAGCATAGGTCCAGCAGACAGGCAATGGCTCAGCCAACTCCCTGTTCCCATCTCTCTCCCTCACCCTACCCCCGACCCCTCTCACCTGTTCAGGCCTATGAGAGGTAGCTGGTACATCTGCCAACTGAGCTGCCTGGGCCTGGGGCTCCTATGTGTATGAATAGAAGCATTCTGGTTATCACAGAAGGCCCTATCATAGCCCTGCCTCAAAACCCCAGAGCACCCAAAGCACTTGTACCCATGTCTGCTCAACTGCTGTCGGATGTCAGACTGTGACTAGAAGAGAGGAAAGCACCATCTGCAACCACAGATTAAAGCACCTGGCTGCAAGGAAACTGCCATGACCCTAACCCTAACCAAAATGCCCATGAGAAGAGTAGGGGTGCCTCTGGGTGAGTGTCCAAGGAAAAAGATATGCCCGAAGGAAAGCACCTAAGAAAAGGTGTGCTTTGTGCCAGGAGCACTACATATCCTTACATGGGTCCCACCTATTTGCCCTTTCTCTACTCAAGTCCTAAGAACATAGGGGAGCCCCGTGGGCATACTCCCTCGGTTGGAAAAGGCCTACTTAGCACTAGGAACTTGTATAACAGTGGTGTTTATACATAAAACAACTCTCAAACTGGCTATCCCATCTAGAAAACTCCCCATCCACTCCAGCCCACCCACCAGATAAAAGGTAAACTTCTCTGAATGTGTGAAGCGGGAGCCCTTGAGGGTGCCAGTCCTGGCCCCAGCACCCCAGGCCTGCAGCAGCTCTCCCAGGTCTCGGAATTTTGGAAGGACTCCAGGTGGGCCCCAGCTTTGGCGTAGATGCTCAGCCAGCTGCTTATGCAACCGCTGCCGTGGAGCCTGGGGATCGTCCTAGAAAGAACATACAAGGGAACCGGAGGGTGTGGGGGCCTGCTGGTCTCCAAGGCCTTGCCTCTTCGAGAGGCCACCTAACAAGTCACATCCACTTGACAGCCTTCCTACCAAGGCAGGTCACTGCCCCAGTCACCTAGGAGCTCCCCAAGGACAGAAAGGTACCTCTCTCCACAGTTACACTTCTCCACCCACTCAGTCCTCACCCTGGAGAAGAATGTGAGAAGAGAGAGCCATGAACCTGGAGCTTTTAAATTAGAAACACAGAAAGGATGTGTAGGACAGAGCAGACACAGAATGAAAGGTGCCAGACAAGAAGAAGACAAGTTGGGGAGAGAGAAAGAGAAGAAAAGGAGAGGTAAGAACAGAGACCATTTCAAGACAAACATGGAAAATGGGATTATGAACGCAGTGCTAGACAGTGCTAAGAAATCATTATTAATTTCATTAAGTATGAAAAAGGCACAGGAGTTTCATAAAATAAAGTTCTTTTGAGTAAGGACATGTATTAAGTAGTTAGAGTTGAAATTATATTACAGTTTGGGTTTGCTAAAGTTTGATCCTAAACATGGAATCCAGCATCTTATACATGCTAGGCAAGCACTCTACCATACAGCTACATCTCAAGCTCTGGGATTTGCTGTAAAATTCAGGGAGAAAAGTTGAAGGAAAATAAAAGAAAGAATAACAAGACAAGGGCTGGAAAGATGAATCAAGAGTTAAGAGCCCTACTGTTCTTACAGAGGACCCAGGTTCAGCTAATAACCATCAGGCAGCTAACAATCGTCTGTAACTTCAGTTCCAGGGGATCCAACACCCTCTTCTGGCCTCCAAGGACATTGTATGACATGGGTGCACTTACATGCATGCAGCAATACACTCATACACATAAAACAAAAATAATAAATAAAATAAAAAAGAAAATTCCTATAAGTTTTAAAGAGAGAGATTGTATCTGGGTATAGTGGTGTATGCCTATAATCCCAGCACTCATCATGAGGCAGAGGCAGAAGGATTGTAATTTTTTAATATTTTATTATTTTTATTTATGTGTATGAGTGTATTGCCTGCATGTAAGTGTACCATATGTGTGCAATGCCTGCAGAGGCCAGAAGAGAGTGTCAGATCTCCTGAAATTGAAGTTACAGATGGTTGTTAGCTGCCATGTGGGTGCTGGGAATTGAATCCAGGTTCTCTGGAAGAACAGTAAGTGTTCTTAAACACTGAGCCATCTCTCCAGCCCTGGATTACAATTTTTTTTTTGGTGTTTTGAGACAAGACCTGGAACTCACTGTGTAGATCATCCCAGGCTGGTCTTAAGCTCAGTTATCCTTCTGCGTCCCAAGTGCTGGGACTAAAAGCATGCAATACCACACCTGACTAGATTGCAATTTTGACACCAGCCTGGGCTACATAGTGAGACCCGACAGGGCGGGGGGGGGGGTTGCTGAAAGAGAAAGGGGAGGGAGGGGAGAAGAGAGGGATAACAATTAGCAACCAGGGAGGCAGGAACAGACAGAAAGAAACAGATACAGAGGTGGACAGGGGAAAATGGGAAGAGAAGACAGAGAAGTGGACATGGGGGAAGAAGGGACAGATAAAGTAGTGAACAGAGGGGGAGAGGGCAGAAGGCAAGAGGGGAGGGACACAAATGTGGCCAGAGAGATGTAGTACATAAACAGGGAGGCATAGCTGGGTATGGTAGCACGTGCTTTTAATCTCAGCACTCAGGAGGCAGAAGCAGGTGGATCTCTATGAGATTGAAGCCAGTCTGGTCTACATAGCAAGTTCCAGGCCAGCTGGGGCTACAGGGAGACCCTGTCTCAAAAAGACCAAAAATAGATAGATAGATAATAGTACCAGGAAGAGATAGTGCAGAAACCTATACCAGAATCCATGAGTATCGCTGACAAGTGCAGACACAGAAAAAGTGAAATGGTCAGGGATACACCCTGCCCCCAACAGGGATGAAAGTAGTTAATCCCAACTGTTTCAGGCAAAACTTGTGCAAGATCTCTACCCCATTACCCCATTTTTCAGAACAGGAAATCACATATGAGGTATGTGGACTTGCTCCAGATTAGGTCTTTCTGATCCATTCTTTCAGTTATAGAAGGACAGAGTCAGGGAAGGTGAGGAGCAGAGAGCCAGGAGACAAAACTGGAGAAAACAAAACTAGAACAGGAGCCTTAGGAGCAGAGCTGAGCATTGGTGGTACCTGGAGTGGGAGGCGGGGTGTCCGGTGTGTCCAATCCTCATCCCCTGGGCGGTCCCGGCTCACGTGTTGGCAGAGCTGGATGGCATGATGTTCAAGGAGAGAGGCTGCCCTCCCAACGAGCCATGGCACTTGTGTAGGGGCTGGTAGCAGCAAGGAACTCGCCTGGAACTCACGTTGCTCTGAAGATAGAAACAGAGTTAGCGAGCTGCCCTACACACCAATGCTCATACCCACCTCACCCCTTGTCACTTGCCTCCAAACAGCTAGAGCCTCACCTCCTCTGGAACTCAGTTCAGGCAAGACCAGCCTGCTGGAATGGAATGGTTGCTGGAGGGCTGAGCCCTGTGGGGAGAGCTGCGTCAGAACCTCCACAAGGAGACACCAGTGCAACCAGATACAGACAAGGATGGGGAGGACAACACACGTGCACATGGACAAGAAGTGGGGATTCCACCTGGAGGCGCTGCAGCTTGGGAGTGCGAAGGAGAGGTGGGACCCAGGGCAGGGCCAACTGATCCCGGATTTGGTTCCCAATGGCTCGAAGGAGAATAGCTGAGTCACCTATAGGGATAGGAAAGGGGTGACATGATACAAATCTGAAAGCACATCCTCTGGGAAGCCAGTCATGGCATGTGCCCTCCGCCTTACCTAGAGATCCAGATAGAGTCAACTAGCATTCTCAATCACTCAACACTTAATGAGCACAAACTAGGTAGGTGCCAGTTACCAGATTAGACACCAGGGCACCTCAGGAAAAAAAGTGATAGTTTCCATCTTCATGGATCCAGCAAGCTAATAAAGGAGAGACTTCATGAATAGGACCATTAGGCCATCTAAACTGAGCAGAAGAAAGGATTGTCAAAGTGGGACTGGAATGTTCCAAAAGGCAGTCAGAAGGCTTCCTGAGGTAACATGAGAGAGGAAGCCACAGAGAGTTGAGGGTGTGTCCAACCTGTGGCACTGTGACTCTACAGAGTGTCATCTACAAAGTTCATGCATAAGAACAGTACCATGGAGCTGGGTGTGGTGGCGCACGCCTGTAGTCCCAGCACTTGGGAGGCAGAGGCAGGCAGATCTCTGTGAGTTCAAGACCAACCTGGTCTACATAGTGAGTTCCAGGCTACAGGGAGACCCTGTCTCAAAAAAAAAAAAAAAGAACAGCGCCACTGAGTCACACATACCAAACAAAACACCAAAAAAAAAATCTCATAACATTTTAAGAAAGTTTACAATTTTGTGTTGGACAGCATTTATAACTATCCTTGGCAGCATGTGCTCTGTAGGTTGGATTTGCCCAGAGAAGAGTTGGCTAAGGAGATCTGAAGGAAGAATAATCTAGGGACACAAAAGCCCTAAGGCTAGAGTGTGCCTGGCACATTTGGGGACCACAAAAAATGCCCAGCTGGTGAGAGTGGAGTGAGGGTAGCAGTACAGGAGGCGAGCTAGGGGACCCAGTTCCTAGCTTTGTGCTACTTGCCTTGCATCCATCTCCTCTTTGACACCCAATCCTCCCATGCAATTCTCCAAAGACACTCCCTGACCCTGTCAACCTTTCTGCCACCTCTTTCAGCCCTTATCGCTCGATAAATGTACTCCATTCCCCTAGTCCTGCCCCTGCTCTGTACCTGCAGGCTGGTCTGCATCCTCAGTGGCATCGGTGGGAAGCCGCTCAGCCAAGAAGAGAAGCAGGTCTCGGAGGTCAGGCTCACTGGGGTAGAGGAAATTCTGATAGCCAAGCTCCATGGGATAGCCCAGGTCCTGAGGGTTGGGATGTACAATCGGATGATGATACTGATGGTCAGAAGGCAGCCAAGTTCCTCCTGCCGTGGGGGCCCTGGACCTACCATACCTGCTCCCACTCTTTCACAGCCACCACTCTCCCAACCTTCCCCTGTCTCCCTAAGGCCTCCAGGCTCCCAGGGCAGCCACAGTGAAATTATAGTCAATAAGACAGTGGCTGAGCATGGCGATATATGCCTTTAATCACAGTACTCAGGGCAGAGAAGGTGGATCTCTGTAAGTTTGAGGCTAGCCTGGTCTACATAGCAAATTCTAGGCCAGTCAGTGCTACACAGTGAGACCTTATCTCAAAAAAAAAAAAAAAAAGAAAAGAAAACAAGAGATTAAAGCACGAGAACTATGACTCAAAATCCAGAGGCAGGACTGGAGAGATGGCTCAGCGTTTGTGAGCACTGGCTGCTCTTGCAGAGGACCCTGGTTCAGTTCCCAGCACCTACATGGTGGCTAAGAACTGTCCATAACTCCAGTTCCAAGGCATCTGGTCCCCTCTTCTGGCCTCTGTGGGCATTGCACACATGGGTTCACCTACGTACATGCAGGCAAAACATTCATACACATAAAAATAATTTTTTTTAATCCAGAGGCTATAAAAGACAGAAGTAATTTTAAGGAAATATAATTAGAAAAGTCAAAAAGAACAATAACAAGCTGGACATGGTGGTGCATACCTTTAATCCCAGCACTCAGGAGGCAGAGACAGGTAGATCTCTGTTCAGTCAAGGCCAGCCTGGTCTACATAGTGAGTTCCAGTTCTCAAAAGACCAAACGCATCACCATCATCATCATCATCATAATCATCAACAAAAAAAAGGCAAAAAAGACCAGTGACACAACAGCTCAGAAAGAAAGGACTCCCAAGAGTTCTGAATAGGACCAGAAAATAGGTCTGGGGAAAAGGAAGGCCTCACTCTGCCACAGTTGCTGTTGGTTCAGAGCTACATACACCCTGAAAGCAAACCTCCTGGATTCAATCCAAGCTCTGCCTCTTACCAACTGTTAACCTCAGGCCAGTTACTTAACTAATTTGTGCTGCACTTTTGTCATATGGAAAAAAAAAGGATACAAAAGCACCCACCCCAGAAAGTTGTCTTGGAAATTAAATGTTAGCCATGGTGCCTGGCACACAGTGTAGACTCAAATACATCATTATTATATTTATACATGTGTTCTATCACAGTGCAAGCTGTACTGGAAGATCACAGCCAAAATAAGTATGAAAATCAGCGGCTTTTATGCTATTTTATTTGGGTTTTTATCTGACATCTATGATCAAAGAGTTGTGATTGATATGGAAACTCATTCTAGAAGTGGGCTGTGTGCAGTGATTGATGCCAAAATACAGAAGTGGCTTGGGTACAGAATGGATGGCAGGAGCAGGGCACATGCAGGGGAAGACACCAAAACACAAAAGACAATGAATGCCTGCTGCTAGCAAACCACGGCTGCAGAGCCTGACACCAACAGGCCCAGACAGAAGAACGTGAGGACTCCTGACAGCTAGGTGAAACTGAGAGTTATGGGCTAGGTAGAGCTAACAGAGGTATTGCTCATACAGAACTTCAAACACTGGTCCAAGGTCAACAGCTGTGACCACCTGTCTACGTGGAAGTTCGCACTGGAGTTACTTTACTGTCCTTCTGCCACCATAGACTTACTGGGTGTTCTGGAAGTGTCTACATTCACTCCACAGTCACAGACTCCTGGAATGTAGGCAGCCCAATTATGCCTATCAACTATTCATATAGCAACTCGTTTCTGTTATTTATCATGATGGAGACTGAACCCAGGACCTCATGCACACAAAGCACATACTCCAAAACTGAGCTACACCCTGGCCCCTTAACTCATTTTTTTAAATATTTTATTTATTATTTTCATTTTATATGTATGAGTGTATTGCCTGCATGTATATGAGTGCACCTGTGTCGTGCAATGCCGTGGAGGTCAGAAGAGGGCTTCAGACTCCCCTGGAACTGGAGTTAAGGATGGTTTGTAGCCTCCATGTGGGTGCTGGGAATTGAACCCGGGTCCTCTGCAAGAGCAGTCAGTGCTCTTAACCACTGAGCCAACTCTCCAGTCCCCCTTAACTCATTTTTTATTCTCACTGAATTCTCACTGCAACACAGTAGACACAATTCTCACACCCATTCTACACAGGCAGAAAGTGAGAACTAAAGAGGATAAGCAGTGGCCCAAAGTCACAAAGCCAGTGAGTCACAAAAAATAGCAGAACTCTCAGCTCTTGACTACAGCTAACAACCCAGCCCTGAAATAGGGAGGGGTGAGCCCTTCACTGAAGAGGCACTTTATTTGATCTATCATAGCAACATTTTTGGAACTATGAGAGGCAGAAAACATGTGGCTGCAATGTTTTGCTTAGCATATCTTCCTTTGGTTAACCACCCCTCCCCTATTTCCATGGGATTCTGAAAGAGCAGCCAATCATAGCATCCTATAGATGGGCATGTGATCTGGGCAGGGCTAATCAGAGCATGCAGTGCTTAGTTTAGGAGCATGTAACCCAATCAAGGCCTTTCCTCTGACATAATAATAGGTAAATGGCTACTATGTGGCAAAGAGGAGATCTTTATAATGTGGGAGCTAAAGGCAGCCCACGTGTAAACTGGATCAGCTCATTTAATCCTTACAGCCTTCCTGTTTAGCATCTCCATTTCACAATGTGGAAACAGGTCCAGAAGGGTTAGGGTCACACAGCAAGTGGTGGAGCTAGGTAGGGTCTGAACTATTCCCACAGTTTGAATGCAAAGCCACAAAGAAGGACAGAAAGGAAAGGCAGGAGTGTCAAAAGAGCTTGGTGACTGTGAAAAAGGAAGTAAGACAATGAACACTGGGAGGTCACTCACCATGCAGGCCTGAGCCAGGCTCATGGCCAGGCGGAACCGGGCAGACATGGCTGGCGGGAGCAAGGGACTGAGGCCAGAGCCCACTGCAGGGCTGATCACGTGAAGGCATCGGACCACAGCCTCCACAACCAGCTCAGTGGTGAAGGCTTTTAGAGTCTGCACATCAGGAGGGATTGCCCTAAAGAAGAAAGTAGCAGGCTGGATGGGGGAAGTTGTCAGGACACACAGTGCAGTCTTCTAGAGGAGGAAGCTCTAGAACCCAAGTAGGGGTGTAAAAGAGTAAGTCTAAGCTTCAACAGATCCTGGGTGTTAGTGACTATGATTTCCATTCCAAAAACAAACTAGGTAAATCCTCAAGTCCTAAGACCTCATTTGAAGAAGTGACCCAAGTTCAGAAAAACCTGCACTTCAAAGCCTCAAACTTCTGGGGTCCAGAAAGGCAAAGACAGCTCAGGTGGCATGCTCTTCATATTTCTGGGTCCCCAGACACTATGTTCTCTACATGGCAAAGACTCCTAGATCCTGATCTACTAGGATTTGGTGAGAGGCTGGTATTTTCAGGAGTCTCGAACGTCAAGGTCCCTGAACAGCAACAAAGTCAGGCATCCTAGGTTTTGACATCCAGGACTTTTAGGTCCCTTAAACTGGAGAGTCCTTGTGTGTCAATGTGACCAAGTACTGCTATCGCCAAAATTTAAGGTCCTGGTGTTTTTTAAAGTCCTACTGTTTGAGAAACTAAAGTTTGAAATTTCTCAAGTACCCAGTCCCGGGGATTCTGGAGTTCCTAGGTGCCAGGGCCCTGTGTTTTCAGCTTCTTGGTTCTCAGAGTGCAAGTGTTTTTTGGAGTCTTTAGATATCAAGGTACCGGAGTATTAATGTCAAGACCACAAATTTAAGGTCCCAGTTCTTGAGGTGCCAAACTTGTAAGCTTACATCTCAGGGTGCCTAGAGGATTAGAGTTTGGGCTTACCAAACATCAGCGTCAGACAGTTTGGGAGATGTCTGAGTGCAAGGGGGCTTAAGGTCCTGAAAGTTGGAGTTCTACGTGTCAATGACTCGGGTTTTTAAGGTTCCCG